ATGAGGATGATAATGAAGTTGAGGATGAGAAAATGTTTGTGACTGTGTTCCATCATCAACACCACATGTTGTTGAAGTGCACTTTATAAGTAAGAGTGCTCCATGTCCAAGAGTTTAGGGGTGCATTCATCCTTAAAGTAGACTGTTATGACTGGTAATAATGATAACTCGGTGGATGACATTGAAATGGGCAGTGTTTTCCGATCTAAAAATAAATTATGATTTAAACTGTCCATGTTGGTGATAAAAAATTTTCTTGAGTTTCATGTTAAGAAATCTACTATGAACCGTTAAATGCACAAAAGAGGGATACAAATGGTGCTTGCGTGCAAGAATAATTAAAGGTTCGGACACCTTCCTCATCTCTAAGTTTTTCAAGAAACACAGTTGAAAACGAGAGATACTGACACATGACCATCGACAAGTTGATAGTTGGGTGGAGAGTCAGCTGATAAAATCGAACTTCGTGGAAGTTGGTTATTGTTACAAGCCTAAAGATATTATTGTTAATGATATGCAGAAGAACTACGGTGTCAATATCCAGTACGAAAAGGCATGTCGGGGCAAATAAGTTACATTGGACCTATTGATGGGATTGCCGAAAGAGTCATATACTACTTTGCATAAGTATGAAGAGACTCTGAAGGCTGTGAACCAAGGCACCGTTTTTTACATAAAATTGGAGGACAACATATATTTTAAGTACACATTCATGGCCCTAGGTTGCTCAATTAGGGGTTTTACAAGTTGCAAACGCCTGGTACTAGTGATCGACGGAGCACATTTGAAGGGAAAATACAAGGGTGTCATACTTATTGCCTCTTCAATAGACGGTGACAATCAAATCCACCCTTTTGCATTCGAGATTGTTGACAAGGAATCCAATTAGTCATGGACATGGGTTTTTAAGAAAATTAAGATTTCAATAGGGAGTGTAGATGGTTTGGTTTTTGTGTCTGACCGCTGTTAAACTATAACTAACTCCGTATCAACGGTGTTTCCTAATGCAGCGCACGTCACCGCATACATCACTAAGGGATGAAATTGAATGAGAAGTTAAAAAATCTGGGAATGCAAAAACTTTTTTATAAAGCAGCGAAGACCTCCAGGGAATCAAAGTTTTGATACTATTGGGGCCAACTTGTCAGATTCCTTGGAGTGTAGAAGTACCTTGAAGACATCGGCTTTGAGAAATGGGCATGCGCATATCAACTTGAAATAAGGTATAACCAAATGACCTCTAATATTTTCAATTCCATAAATGCAGTAGTCGTTTATGCTTGTGCTTTGCTGGTAACTGCACTATTTGAGCATTGCAGAGCTCTCCTACAAAGATGGTCTTAGGATAGGCGGACTACCGCATGTAATAGAGGACTGCGCTTGTAGACACCGTATTTGGTCCGGCTTAATTTTTGTTATTTATCTATTTATTTTTATTTTTTTTATTAAGTGGTATTTTAATTGTTTTGGTTTAAATTATCCTAAGTTTACTTTATCATAAGGTTTTAATGTAATGTTTTAATTGAATTAAGTATTAAAGTAGATTATGTATTAAAAAGAAAAGAATTTGATTTATTAAAACAAATATATATTAAAAATGAAAAGTATTTAATTTTAAATGAGTTGGTTTTTTTTATTTGATTTTTTCAAATTGGTTATGTTTCTCGTCAAAGGCCTATTACGTGGTTTTTTATCCACGTTCTTCTCCCTCCTTTTTCTCCCTTGACTCCTCCCTCTTACGGTTACTTTGGGTGGGTTGAGTGGATATTTAAGAGAGGGCAAGCACATCAGGGGAGACACACAGAGGGGAGGAAAATTCAAATCATTCACTTTTTTTTTTATCTTCTCTTCTTCGTCACCTACATCAGCAACCTCCGACCACGATCAACTTCGGCAGTGGCACAAATTAATTCCTGCAAACCCGTTCGGATAGACACCTCATCGACCCACAACATTTCGAGAATATTTAAAACTACCTAGGTAAGAAGGTGAGTTCGAAAATAGAAAAAATGAATCTTTTAACTTTAAACAGAATATTTGAAGAGAAAACGTTTTTTTTTTAAACTATATTATGAGGAATGCAAGTATTTTTTATTAAAAATAATAATAAGAAAATGTTCTTTGAAAAGAGAATTCCTTTTTAATAATTTTTTATTAAAAAAAACAAGTTTTTTAAAATGAAAGAAAATTAAAGATTTTGAAAATTAAAATTTTTATTTAAAATAGTAAGATTTGTTTTCTTCTTTCCTTTTAAGTTGATTTTTTGTTTTTAGATTTTGTTTTACGTTTTAAATAATATTTTTAAAAAGTAAGTAAAGATTTGTTATTTAAGTTTTGGAAAAAGTGAATGAGATTTTTTTTAAAATAAATTTGATTTTAAATAGGAGATCCTTTTTTTAAACGAATTTCAAATCCCTAAAATAAAAAGTTTTTTTTTTTTAAATTTTCGTTAATATTTTTTTTAATAAAAATTTTGAAGATAAAGTTTGTTGTTTAAAATGACCCTTTATAACATATCTTTGTGTATGACATAGTGGCAAAAGCATTAGGGACCCATGTTACAAGTCCAAATCTTCATGTTTACCTCAAAATGATTATTTATTTTATTTTATTTTTTTACTTTATTTCATCTTTTTTTTCATTGTTTTTTCCAACTTATCATTTTAAATAAAAGTTTTTTTTTTCTTCTTTCTAAATAAAGGATTTTCCTTTAATTTTTTTTAAACAAAATTCAAAAATAAAAAGTTTGAATTATAAAAAAGAATTTTAAGTTGCATCTTAAGGTGTTGGTACATTGGCAAGGTACTTGGGTATTAATACTCATGGCTTAAATTCGAATCCCTGTGGGCCTCAAATTAAATTTTATTTCATTTTTTAATCATTTTTAAATAATTATTTCGAAAGCTCCAATGACGGAAATTGGGACTTTCCAATATTCTCGAGGTGATAATTTGTTTTTCTAATTGTCTTTGCGCCACTCATGCTTGTTGGTTCATATTTTATCGCAAAATATGAATCAATAAATTTGGGATATTTAAAATCAAACACAAAAGTATTTTTTTCCTTTTGGACCAAATATAATAGGTTGCTAACACCTTTTCTACGCTCAAACGACTCCCGAACCAAAATTCTGTTTTCGTAGACCAAGTTTTTTTAAATAGGTGACCAATCACACCTCGTAGATGATTGGTGGCGACTCCAAACCCTAATCTCGAAAGAGACACATCAGGGGATGACGTCGGCCGCCCCGCATCGCGATGACGTTGCGACAGCTTGGCGACTCCACTAGGGACCTTTAGAGAGTCAAGCCATTATTTTTGTCATATATTATCCTACATTGTCCTATTATATTTCCTTTTTTTTCTTTCTTGTTCGCTTTGTTTCTTTTTTTTTTGTATTATTAATTTGGTTTGGCATCATATTCATCTCGCACAAATACACAAGCCTCCTACCTGGGCTTTACCTTTCAGATTAGATCGGAGACTGAGTAGTTCGACCTTTGTGAAATTTCGGTTCTCGTGCAGGCGCATGAAATTCTCCACTCAAGTTGACCATACCGCGCAAGCGTATGGAAGATTTGGGGGCCGCTTCCCTCTAGGTTGTGTAGGCATT